ATTTTGGGGACTAGTCAAATATGAGATGAATAATTATGAAAGTTCCTGCCAGTATATAACTGACAAAAAATATTTCAACCTGGAAAAATGTTGACCGTGTCATTGCAGTTGCCGTTTTCATGTTTATTCATGTTTGTTCATGTTATGCAGGGATTCCCAAACTTTTTTGTTTGTCAAACCCATGATTTGACCTAAAATATTTACTTGAAGTCCCCCTGAGATTTAAAGTTAATATTACATTACTGACTACAAATTTGATAATGTAATTTGTAATCCATAACAGACTACAAATTGTAAGTAATCCATCCATATGTTTATCATATGTTTAAACTTGCGTATGCAGAGTTTCATCATTTGTGCATAAGTGTTTGATAAAAAACATGACTCAATTATTTTAAACAGCTTCTTCCTATGAAGGTATATTGAAATATCTACACAGTGCAAAAAGAGAACATTTTGTCTTTGAACTTGCTTCCTCAGGTTGATGACCCTATTGATATGCTCCCCAAGTCAAGAAAAGCCCTTAGCATCCAGGAAATTGCAGCTCTGGCCAGATCATCATTTAATGGTAAGTATTTAAACACCTGTTGCATCATCATAAGCATTTATGCATGTTAATCAGTCTTTAACAATCCCTGTGTTTTCCCTACCAGGCATCTCACAGGTGGTGAAAGATCACGTGACCAAACCCACGGCCATGGCTCAGGGTCGGGTGGCTCATCTGATTGAGTGGAAGGGCTGGTCTAAGCCCTTAGACCCTCCGTCTGCTACACTGCAGTCCCACTTTAACTCCTACTCCCATCTCAGCGAGGGCGAGCAGGAGGCCCGGTTTGCAGCAGGTGGGTGTCTGCTTGCACCCTGTTAGTACAGCTGTAAATCTCTCACTGCTGATGGAGTGTGTTAAGGAGATAACTGTAGATGCACAAGGATATTGATGTCTGGGTGTTTATACATGCACCGTTGTCAAATAATGTGGACATTAAATTTATTTTTGAACATTAAAATGTAAAATTGTGCATGAATGTTTAAGGTAATCTGTATATTTCTGGTCTTCATTTCTTTTACGGTTTTCAAGTTGTTATTATTACTAATAGTAATAATCAACTGCATTAATAGTACTAATGATTCAAATGTAATAATATTATACATTCCTATACATATATGCATTTTTTTTTACCTCATATTAATTATGTAATTATTATTAATCACTGTAAGCTATGTAGTAATTATCTATCTATCTATCTATCTATCTATCTATCTATCTATCTATCTATCTATCTATCTATCTATCTATCTAAATTCAAATTCAAAATTGCTTTATTGGCATGATTGTAAATTATACAATATTGCCAAAGCTTAGTACACATTTACAAAAAGATAAACATTTTTTTTTATCTATCTATCTATCTGTGTTCTGTCTGTCTGTCTATCTATCTATCTATCTGTCTGTCTATCTATCTATCTATCTATCTATCTATCTATCTATCTATCTATCTATCTA